AGATACAATGTGTTCTTACCAACTGGGCTATTCTAGTACCATCCTTTCGAATTGGGTTGACTCTAGTATGGGTTTGGTGCTAAGAATAATCTGTCGGTCTGAATAAAATTTTCCCTTTTTTTTTCATCAACTTCTTAAACAAACGAACCGGACACATTTGTGGATTGTCGAAATTTGTAATCAACCATTTACAATACATTTCTTTAGAACAACCTTGTGTGGTTTTAGAGAATGTTGAAGTATTGGATACACGCAGAATATCCTTCCCCTTCTCTCCATACCTACTCATGTGAAACTATATGAAAAAATTTACGCTGCAATCCATCTGGAGTATTTTCATCCCACATTTCAATAATTTTTTTGCATTCGTCACTGGTTAACGTTTAAGCACACACTTTACTTTTTAATGGGTCTCTCTGCGCTTAGCATCGCGTGCAGCTCTGTCGGTCGCAAATTCCACATTAGAAAACGGATTAAATTTTATTTTATATTTTTCGTAATCATTTTTTTTGTAACTGCTTAGCAGTAGAGTTCCACATCATTTTGACCACACTTTCCTTATAATGTTCAAAATTTTTCTTAGTCATATTAAATGCGTAATCCTCCAGTATAGTAGCCAGATGTAATACACTCATACACTCATGAATATTATACAACTTTTCGTCACAAAATTCAACAAACTCTTTCCATATACATGATTTTGATTTTCGGGTTTATCTGGTGTTATATTTTGAATTTCTTGTCTAATTACTTGTTGACTTTCTTTATCAAATCGCGACATTTCGCTATACACTTATTAAACTCAACGTACAGACGTTTTAAACTAGTAATTATTAAGCTTTGTTTCATTACATGTTATGGTTGTTCGATGTGGAACAGAAACTTGTTCGATACTTCCTGCACTTTATCACTTAACAGGGGCAGATTATATTAGCAGTTTGGACCAAACGTGCTGCCCTTCATGCCGAATCACAAAATCATCTGTCAAGTTTTAGACAAGGTATAACTACCTATAATTACTTAAAAAATTCGCTTATAAATACCTATTTAACCTGTATAGTAACTTATTTGGTATATTTATTTTTTTAATGTTTGTTGAAAAGTTGTTGGAGATGCAGAGGAATATTTCGTTAATTTATATTAGTAATTATTAAGCTTTGTGACAGAACCGGTTTAACAAAAATGACAAATCAACATATGTCAAAAACAACAATACCCTGGCCAACTTGACAAGCAGTGAAATTATTTTAAAATGTCAGGTTGGATAAATAATTTTTTTCCAAATTATGGTGTGAAATTTTCTTACCGAATACCTTAATTATTCCTGGAAATTTTCTTTCGGGCACGAAAATTTTAGGAAAATTACCCTGAGTCGCTTCGCAACTTAGGATAATTTTAAAAATATGTGTACCCTCAAAAAAATTTCCGGAAATAATTTAAGCTCTTGTGATATTATAAGTGACAATTTTGTCAAACTAATTGTCAGTATAATTATTTAGTTATTGAGAATAAATGTACATTTAAATGAGATATTCTTGTGTAGAATCGATAAACAATGTCATTTATATAAATCATAAATCTTATTAAAACTATATGAAACTTATTTAATTACGAATAATAAAACTAATTTCCAAAAAGTGGCAGTGAAGCTGAAGATAGAGCATCTGCCTTCTACGTGAATAGCCCGGGTTCGAATCCTAGTAACAAATTTATTTTTTCATAAATTATTCTAAAAATTAGTTATTTTGCCTTAATAAACTAAAGTAATTTGTAAAATTTGAAAATTTTCGTAAGAGAGTCGTAGAAAAAATTATAGTGTACCACTCGAGTAGATTGTCCGTATCACAGATGACGGCGTCGTTCTCAAACTTCGTCTTCGTGTGATTAGACCATTATATCTACTCTTGTTGCACAAAATAACTGCTATTTAAATATTAAATAAGTTAAAATTATGTCAAACTAACTGTCAGCAGGTATATTTTTTAGTTATTGAGATTAAATATACTTAAAAATGAGTTATTCTTTAGAAAAATCATTATATTTATTTTTAATTCTTCTATATTTACAAATATATCAAATTTTAACAGAACTAAATGAAATCAATTTAATTATGAGAATTGAAGTTAAAACTTTAGTTGTGTCGATGGAGCTAAGGGTAGCGCATTTACCTGTCATGGGAGAGGTCCTGGCTTCAAATCTAATACCTATTGGAGACTAATTAATTTTTTTTTCATTTTATTCATTTATTTATCTTATTGAAAGTCATAAATTATTTTTAAATTAATTATTTTGTTAGTCTTAAAATAATTTTTGAATTTTGTAGATTTTCGTTAGTGGGTCGTAAAAAATATACGTACAACTTTTTAAATATTTTGGTTTCCGAGGGTGGTCAAACGTATCCCACTTTTAAAACAAATATTTTGGAGTTTCGGGGGGTTAGTTTCACATAGCTGTTGTAACCATCTATTAATGAAAATCGTTTGTTTTTTCGATAATCTATTAGTATTGATTTTACTTACACATGAAATTAGAACTCCTATAACAAACCCGCGCACCCACATATTTCAAATTATAAAGACCTACAAGAAGAATATCACAACAACAATAACAATAAAAAAATACCTACAGTGTGATATGCATAAATAGTTTTGACAATCCCTCTTCAGGCGTTGCGACATTCTGTGTGGTAAAAATCGGCCTTTATTGCTTTATTGGAGATACGATCGAAGGTCCCATGTGACTTTGGCCCAAATAAGAAATCATTTGTTGATGGCATACAAAGAAATGTAAATCAATTATGCTACCTGCATAATAATTGCCATTGTATTTACTAGAAGAAATTGTTCGACAGTATCTGTAATACAGCCGCTATATGGTTCTGTATTCGCTGAAAGGCCCATGCAGTTTTTAAACGGATTGTCTTTTTGGTCCGTTTTGAACATATTTTGCTTTGTTACCACTCAAAAATATGGCCAGTTATTTTTTTTGAAATTTTACCATTACATTATATGGAGAAAATATGCGTTCCATGTAAAATATTGATTTCCTGAGCTTTATATTAAAGATTGGGCATTGGCTTAGAATTCAATTGTTGGTTGTTATATCCGTGATGATCCCCATATTAATTTAGGAAAGGTCTAGTGCGTACTCGAAGCGAGGGGGGACAGAAAGTTAAAAAATATAGACTCGCAGGAGCGAGATAGTTACAAAGTGTGTTAAACGTGTTAATTAATTACGTTGAATACATTTTCATATTATAATTTTTATTTCTCAAAGTTACTTATTTCTGCACTACCTCCCCCTGAACCTTGAAAACAACAGCTTCTCTGGAATACGTCTAGGAATGTGCTGCTTCCATAGCTGAATGCACGTGGAAGTCACTGGCCAATAAAATCGAACTAGCAGGACACGGTATCGTGTGAATCACTGCAGTATGGTTTGAGGTTAGAATATACAATTAATAGAGGACTTCTATACAAGGGAAGGGCAACCAACATGACAAAATAAAATTGACACTAATGACATAAGAAATTGGGTCACATAAAGAGACTGTTTTTTAGTTTGATTTTTGGTTTTTCCTATCTACTTTCATGCCATTTGCATACCTTGTTGTACCCGTAACGTGAAAAAGACTTTTTAGTTTAGGGTATTTTACATTTAAAGGTTGAAATATTTTGTCATTGTCAGCTGTCAATTATGTTGATGATAGAACACAGGCGTAACCATAGATAGGCATAACATAACTAGTATTGTATGTTGGTTGTATATTTTATAGAACTTGTATTAGTAGCAGCAGCATTTTGCAATTGACATAAATAAATAAAAAGGAAAAACTTGTATTTCGTGCAAAACTTTTTTTTTTATTAATCAATGCAAAGCGCTTTCGGCTTATTTGCCATCATCAGTGCTCATTGTCCACAACGTATCCAACAAGTTCCTGGTCATCCTCACTCCCAAAATTATATATTTCGGGATATTTACAACTTGCTAAATCATAATTTTATTAATATTAATATTTTCAAATTTAAATTTCTCTCTTCATTTTGGTTCAAGTTGTTTAACCGTTTCCACATGTGGAATCTAAACTACGTGCACATGGCTGTCAACCTTTTTTGGGTTTTTTTAATTTTTTTAAATAAATAAAACCAAATGAAAAATAATGTTTCAAGAAAGCAGGAGAAACACAATTAGACTAATAACAACAAAAAATAAAATGCAATGCTACGCTTATGTTTTGACATTATCGGCAGCTGATATTGACAAATGTTTTCAACCTTTAAATGTAAAATACCCTAAAATAAAAAGTCTTTTTCACGTTACGGGTACAACAAGGTATGCAAATGGCATGAAAGTAGATAGGAAAAACCAAAAATCAAACTAAAAAACAGCCTCTTTATGTGACCCGATTTCTTATGTCATTAGTGTCAATTTTATTTTGTCAAGTTGGTTGCACTTCCCTTGTATAGAAGTCCTCTATTATTGCTAAACGCATGTCGCAAGTTTGGAAATTTACCCGATAACTCTGTTTAATTATTAGATATATCTTTTAAAGATTTAGCCTCTGAGTTTTGTAATCTCATTAGCAGGACATTGAAGGGAAGGCTTAATAGGGTAGATTTTGTATTCGATAGCTATTTAGAACAGTCACTAAAATAGGGAGAAAGGTTACGACGATACAATGACGAGTACATTTGTGTGCATGAAATCAAAGAGGATGTTTCTTTACCTGTCGGAAAAAAGAAGTTATGGGGCGCTGCAGAAAATAAAATTTTGCTTGAATCATTTCTTCGAAAATTCTTTTAAAAAAATGGTTCTTAATTCTGGCCTGGGGTTCAACTGATATGCAGCGCTACAAGTACCGAATCTTTCCAGTTAACATTACCCTTTTCTGAATCATTAAATAAATTGCCGACATGAGAATAATGGTCCACACACTTCAGGCAGTGCGAGATACACATGAAAACATATTTATTTTGTTGTCAGATACTGATATCATAATTATGGCATTATATCATTTTAAAACATTTGAAGCAACAGGAATAAAGGTAAGCCCTTAATGAGTGGTATTGGTATCAAATGTATATTTTGATTTGTTAAAGTTTTTTAGAAACTTTGGATAAAAGCAGGAGCAGGAGCTACAAAACGATATGTTCCATTACATGTTATGGCTGTTCGATATGGAACGGAAACTTGTTCGGTACTTCCTGCACTTTATCACTTAACAGGAGTAATTATACCAGCAGTTGGGACCAAACGTGCTGCCCTTCTTGCCAAACCTCTTAATCAACTATCAAGTTTTGGACAAGGTATAACTACCTATAATTACTTAAAAAATTCGCTTATAAATACCTATTTAAAATATACCCTGTATAGTAACTTATTCGCTATATTTTTTTTTTAGGTTTGTTGAATACAGAAATTGAAAAGTCTGTTGGAAATGCAGAGGAATATTTTACGAAAAAAGACTTAATGCAAAACGTTTAATGAGCTGAGGTATTGGATGGATCATCACCAGAAAAGTGTTTCTTTACAAAAATTGCCACCAACAATTTTAAAGATAAGATTCCATATTCTAACAACTTTTTATATTATATATATTCAAAATCACTGTTTGGAAAGAACACCAAATTTTTTCGATCCCCTCCAATTTGGTTACAATAACGAAAACGGTTACCTGGTGCCCAATCGTGTAAAAAATATTTTTCCTCCAACCGAAGAGCGTGTACCCAGCTTGTAAAATGTTGCATATTGCTCCTTTTGTAATTGTCCGACAAACCAGTGCAATAAATCCTATAATATGTAAAAATTTTATGTTTTAAGAGATTCGAAATATATTCGTATTTTTCTACCTCTAAATTTTTGTTGCATGCTGATATTTTGTACCACCCTGTATAATCTAAACAACAACTATTATACAGATATATTTTTTACAGATATATATTGAACAGTGACAAAATGAAAAAAAAAACTGATATATTAAGTAGATAAAAACACAAGTGTATGTGGAATACTCTAATGTCATATGTGTATAGTCCTAACTATATCACCACCCTGTATAAAAACTAAACTGGCCTTTTTTGGGCCTGGTAACCAAAAGATCTTCAATATGTACACCTTGGACAACATAATGCCACAAAAATATATCGGGAACTTCTCAAAAATAGGATGTTACTTAACTAGCGTATAGACTAAATTTTAGAAACTGTATAATAATAACGATAAAATGTGTTTATGGATTATTAAAAAACTGATATTGTAACTCAGCACCCAATCCCCACAGCAAATACACATTGTGTGTGCTTTTAGAATGCTACCAAACATGTTCTTCTACTATACTATACATTATATAAAAAAGTACCATAATAATTATACTTTCAATTCAGTTAGGCATATTACCTATACTTTTAGTTTTAGAAGATTTTTAATAAAAATAAAAATATAATTCAGAAAATGCTTGTATTTCTTCTATATTTCTCTTTACTTAGTTAGAGCCTTCTTTTATAGATGAATTGTGATTGGCTAAATGACTCATGTGATCATTACAAAAAAAGGAGGCGAATCGGTAATGATCAAATTTCAAATTTCTATCCTTCTTTTTATAAAGTTCGCTAAATTGACTGTAGTTGGCACGTCTATCGTCACTGACGTTCATTTTCTATATAAGTCAATGTAGAGTCAAGTGATTTTTTTCAAAAATTGGCGAAAAGAATCAAAACAATGTGAAAAAAAGTACCTGAGTACTAGTAACATAAGAGACAATAAACGTTACAGCAAGATTTACTTCATTCCGTATTGTAAAACAGGATACAAATCACATGCAAAACTAAAGAAAACACAAGGATAAATCAATTAATGTCTTTTTAAAGCTTCTAATGTAAGTAAAATAATGTCTAAATATAATATTTATTGTAAACTAGTCACAACACGTATCACTGAGCGTAGTTTATTTTATTACAAGTTTCTATAAAATAAAATTTTACACTCATAGATCCTCAGGGCCGACTAGATGGGGGGGGGGATAGCCGGGACTAATTCCCGGGGCCCGGACTCAAATGGGGGCCCGGCAGCGGTGGAGCTTGTTACTTTTAGAAGTTCGACAGAAGAGGGGGGAAGTTCTTAGGGGATGAACTTTTTTTAAATAGAGAAGGAGAAATTTTTTGCTTGAAGACCTGTTTTTTTTTTAGAATAATTCAAGTAGAGGATTAGCGCTTGAAGACCTTTTTGTTATTTAATTTTTTATAAAATTGTCGCGGGGCCAGATCTGGAGAATTGTCCTGGGAAATTTTGTTTTTTATAGAGTTTTAATGTTAAATAAACAGTTGCTACTGTTATTTTTTTGTTGAACCCCAATTTTGTCATTGTAAATATTTTTTATAGGAACCTAAATAGTGGCAGCATATATATCGTTCCTAGGTTATCGGCCAGCACTTTCTAGACATGATGCTGTTCTACACTTTTTAGAAGATATTTCCAAATATTATGAGACTATTTCTACTGATGGTACTGCAAAATAAAAAGGGGAAAGCAGAAATTAAAGGATGTGGCAATATCATACACATTCCCAAATCTCCCTTTATACTTGTATTATAACAATAAAAAATCTGTTAACTGTGTTTTATTTTGCTCTTAACTACAATATTTAGGTATAATTCAAAAAAAATTAGACACTAAATTGTACTTACCAAATTTTACCATTTAACAAATCTTTTCGAATTGGTTCCTACCTACCTAAATTGCATTTTATATAGATAAAATTAAATAATTTATCAATTATAACATGCGAGACTTATTTAGATATAAATACAACAGTATATTATGCGCTTTATTTGGCAATAAACAAGTTTATTATTATTATTATTATTATTATTATTATTATTATTTTGACAAAATTATGTAAAATTCCCATAAGAAGCCATGTATTTTGAATAGCGGTACTAGCACCAGCGCCCTTACGGTGAATTAAAAAAGCTCAATTAGCGTTCATTTTTTGTGACCGTATTTTGAGTATGCCGATTCGCCTCCTCATCTCTAGTCTTCATAGTCATATGCTTGTTACAGTTTATATAAACTAAATTCATTTTTAAAAGAATCATATAAAGGTTTCAATGATATTCTTGCAGATGCCAAAGGTTAGGTGTCTTACTGGAAAGTCTAATTGAAAAGTCTAGAAACTTAAAAAGACTAGTTAAATAAAGCAAAAAAAATCAATTTTACTACGAAAGTGAGGATCAGCGAATAGAAAATGAAGAATTTACTTTCAAACCTTCAAAGGTCCTTTGTTGTTTCAAATGATTGTGAATGCATAATAAAATGAATATCTTTATGATAATTGTTAAATCATACTTTAATAATACAGCTTCCTTTAGTCAACACAATCGACTAAGGCGACCCCTTCGAACAGACTCAATGATGTTTAAATAAAGAGCACAATATAGGTACATTTTATTGTAATAAAATATCAAAAACAATAACTACTAATAATTGTTCATATATACTTATAAAAAACTCAAATATGTAGGTGGTATTTACCTGCAAGAACAGTACATCAAAATAAGTAGCAAATAACAGTAGGTTATTGTTTTAATAAAAAAAATATTAAAAAAATTTGAAAATATTATTGGTTTCATTGTTTTTTATTGCTTATACTTACATTTGTTCGATACAGTAGTTATGCAACTGTTTTGAATTTGTAATCGTTATACCTAAGATTATTCCATTGAAATAATATTATAATGTTATTAGTACCAATTATGGCATATATTTTTATCTTTTAATCTGCTTATTGTATTTATTTTAATACCAGGGATGGCAAAGAGTAAAATTTGGTTTAATATGGTAAGTTGTAAAAATGTAAGAATAGTAGTAATTGTAATTTTATATTAATAGTAGTTTATTCACATAAACGTATATTACGTAACAAGAGTTGTAAATAACCCATTACGCATCAAAAGATGAAATTTTATTATTAAAATTTATCAATAAGGGATGGCCAGTAAACAAATCATTCAATAAAGATTTACAGTTACAGAATTACTATCGCATTAGAATTGAATTAAGTATAGACTCTAGTTGTCTAATGTGGAACAATCGCATAGATATTCCTAGTAGTTTACAAAAAGAAATTTTACAAAGTTTACATGCCTCACATATGGGAGCAGTTAAAATGAAAAGCTTTGCCCGATCATATTTTTGGTGGCCCAATTTAAATAAACAAATTGAAGAAGTTTGCAAAACTTGTAGAACTTGTTTAGTACCTAAATAAAAAAGTACCCAATAAATCAATTCTGCATTCTTGGCCTTATCCTGAGCAACCTTGGCACAGACTTCATCTCGATTTTATGGGCCCATATCTCAATAAACAGTATTTAATTATTTTGGATGCCCATAGTAAATAGAGGTTTTTCCAATGAATTTAATTACTTCAACTTTAACAATCGATGTTTTAAGGTCTTGTTTTGCACGTTTTGGATTACTTAAACAAATTTGTACTGATAATGGAACATCATTTTGTTCTGCTGAATTTGAGGAGTTCTTAATAAAAAATAACATAACCCATATTACGATTCCCGCATATAATCCTTCGTCTAATGACGCGGCCGAGAACGCGGTAAAAACAATCAAGAATGCATTAAAAAATGCTCTAGGCAAATCTCATACTTCAAACATCAATGTCATTTTAAATAATTTTTTGTTTGATTAGGTATCGCTCTACACCTCATAGTACCACCCAAGAAACAGCTGCTAAATTGCTGATGGGTCGTCATTTAAGAACCCGTTTTCATGATCTCTTACCCAATTCAAATAAAAAATTGAAAGAACGTGTTATAAAATGCCAAGAAAAATTTTATCATGGTGGAAAACGATTTTTGTGTTTTGAACCAGGTGAAAGTGTTACTGTGCGCGATTATCGTAAACCGAATGTAAAAACATGGATCAAAGGTGTTATTTGTAACGATACCTGAATTAAACGTGTCATGGAAACGCCATTTGAATCAGATAAAAATATTTCATATTGAAAATATGAAAATTCAGCTATTTGTAATAACAATATTGAATCTGAATCTGTAATAAATTCTGATACCAGTGGCGTTACTTCACACGACGAAGCAGAAAGTTTAATATGTGACCGACCAAAAAGAAATGTTAAACCGCCTGAACGGTAAAATTATGAAAATTAATTTTTTTTTCTGCATTTTTTTTTGTTAAAAATTTATAATATATGTATATATAAGGATTATGTCTAAATTTATTTTAAGGGGGAATATGTGATGTACGGGTAATTGGTGTGCATCACTCTATATATTAGATTTAATTTATTGTTTTCTTTTCCAATTGAAGTAAATTTATAAAAAGTGGTTTTACCTATTGGAATGATATTGGTGTGATTTGTAGAAACAGTCATGAATAAACTACGGTACTGAGATTGTTGTTTTATTTATATGTATTTGTAACAAGTTATAATAACCACCCCAAATTAGGTATAA